CCGGAGGAGCTGGGGGAGGTCCATCTGAATCATTACATCTTAACTTCTTGTGCTTTCAGTATCCTTACTTGTTCTCAGCTGGAAAAGAAATCCTTTTTTCCCCTTCCTGATCTGGAGTCACAGGTGGGATCTCCACACCTCCTTGCCCGGGCAGGAACATGCTGAATTCAATCTGGGGTTAATACTGAGCCTTATATTATCATTGCCGCTTAATCTAAATGAATTGGTTGTGATGCTGAGAAAAGCTGGAAGAGAACTACTCACAGACTTGTATCTCTGAGTAGCAGGGATTTGTTTATTCAGCCCCGGGCACAAGGGGCATCACTCCACCAGACTTGTGCCACCAGGGACAAAAACTTCACAGTTTATATACACTAAAGGCTCATACATAGCCATTATTTCTAGGAATGGGTGGCTATTATAATTAGTTCTTGGAAATCATTATCATATACTGCCTCTCCTCCCTCCTGGCATCAGTTCCATGGTCTTGGTGGTCGTGAAGATGAAGTGTTTCCTCTTCCTCGGTACCCTTTGGACACCCTTATTGTGTAACCCTTTACCCCTTTGTACAATTTTGTGCCCTTTGGACACCCTTATCGTGCAAACATTTACCCCTTTATACAATTTTGCATGCCTTGCTGTCCTTGCCTCTATCTCAAACATTTTGTTTCTTCATTGCACACCTTATATGGTCTTGGTTTTTCTCCTACTGCCAAGGTTTGAGTCTGGTTAGTTCTACTGTCTTATAGATAAGATGCCTTGTTTTGCTGTCTGAGCTAAAATTGTGCCATTAGTGAGGCTATTCTTTATATTTTCAGCTTTAATTGTTCAATTCCCGTTACCAGTCTGCTTCTCGTTAGCAGTTGTGACCTTGTTGCTCTGAACATCATCTCTCTCGTGAGCTCCAGGATGGGATCCCGTTGGAGGTTAAGGCACTTGCACTCTGTCAGGGGAGCTGTAGGGTTTTCTGCAGTGGATGAAACGTGCTCAGTGTGAGTTGTTCCCTGCAGGGTTGGAGGAGCAGACAGGGCTGGCAGGTACCGTGTGCTCAGCAGGGGATATGTGCTTTTCCAGAGGGGTGGAAAAGCTGGAGTTCTTTATGGCTTTAGATGTATTTAGGATGCATCAAGCGCTGTTCTCATGTAGCCAGTGAAGCAAAAGAGCTGTCTTTTTTTTTTTCTTATTCTTTATGGCTTTAGATGTATTTAGGACGCATCAAGCGCTGTTTTCATGTAGCCAGTGGAGCAAAAGAGCTGTCTTTTTTTTTCTTAACCCCA